CATTTGACTTGGCTAAAATGGAAGCATTTAGCTATGAATATTCTACAGCCCTGAAACAACATTGCCGTTAGCTGTCTGTATTAATATTTCAGAAGCTTTTCATGTTTTGGGATCTGATATGGCGCTTGTTGACAATGTTCTGTTTCTCTATTGGATGATAGTGTGGGCTGCAGGTAGAGCACCGAGCACTGTACAAGTACCACATGGATAATTTGGCCACATTTATCTGTGGGATGCCTGTCTTTTCCTGTTGTTTCTTAAATAGATTTTGCATGGCTGCAGCAGTTTTATCTTTCTTCAGAAGATTGGGATAGTCCAGCCCGAGGATATTCCCATGGATGTCAGCCATTGGGACAGATCCTTAGTTGACCTATCAGCAACCAGATGTCAGTAACGCAGGCGAGATAGAGAACCAATTTGCTCATCTTGATGAGTTTGCCAGATTACAGCCGAGATGGGAGTTGAGTGTTTGGACTAGCAGCTGTGTTTAAGAGCAGTGCCAGGCAGCAGATTGTTCTTATTTAATGTTTTTAATTTCCTGTTTTGCCTCTTTATTTTTCTGTTTCTCCTCCCCAGTACGTTACCTGTATTTTTTTTAATTGCCAACCCCTACTCTCTTCCAAAGGCACTGTTTCTTTTTGAGGCGCTCTGCTTTTGGGTACTTTTGGAAATTTAATGGTAGCAACTGTGACTTGAATCACTGGTTCTCCCAGCTAAACCTCTGTGGAGGTTTGACAGAAAACCCCCAGAAGAACAAAATAAATAGCTGTTTTCAGCTGATTGTGCCATCCCTGTGGTGGGTTTTTGCAGGGAGATGGTGGTCTGGCTTTACCAGTCTCTTGCCATAGGTACAGTGGAAGCTGTGGAGCATCCCCTGCCACCACTTCCATGACATTTACCTGCTGGGAGAGATTATTATAAGCCTATAACACGGAGAATAAACAATGGTTGTGTGGAAAGGGAGGAAAGTAGTGAGGCTAGGAGCAAATTACTGCAGATGCTGGAATCTCTACTGAGAACAAAAAAAATGCTGAAGATCACAGCGGGTCAGGCAGCATCCATGTGATCTCCAGCAATTTTTGCTCAAAGTGGAGGTGCTAGGCTAGGCAACAAAAGCATGGTCAAAGGGCAGGGTTTTGAAGGGATTTTGGAAAACAGACAGAGATCCAACAAGGTAGGAGCTGCACAGAAATATCCCAAACAATCCCAGAAGGCAAGAATGTAACAGTTTAAGGGAATAGCTGCCAAAGGTGAAGTAAGCATGCGTTCAGCTGCCCAGACCCTAAGCTTAGCTCTCTGTCTCCCTCTTTTTCTTCAAAACCTACTTGCTCACCTGTCTTAATGTCATTGTGTGTGGAAAAGACCAGGAGTGATCAGAGTGTGGAACCTCCTGTGAGTAAGATTGTGGACCATAGCCTTGGAAAAGTCAAGCATTGTAGTAATGAGCAAATACACTGGGATTTCAGCACATGGAGATTGGAATGGAACCAGGCAGCGTTGCTGAGACAAAAACAGAAATTGCTGGAAAAGCTCAGCCGGGCTGGCAGCATCTATGGAGAGAAAGCAGTGTTAACGTTTCAGGTTGTTCTGAGGATGGGTCACTTGTGCCAAAATGTTAACTGTGATTTCTCTCCATAGATGTTGCCAGACCTGCTGAGCTTTTCCAGCAATTTCTGTTTTTGTCTCCAATTTACAGCATCTGCGGTTCTTTTGTCTTTTTATTTAGTGTTGCTGAGATGGAAGACGGTGGTTTTGATAATGAAGTGCATGAGCCGAAACGGTAATTGTCGGCAAGTATTCAGCTGTGAGGCCATTGTCTGAACCTGGCAAAGTTCTCAAAGTGTGGAAGGCTCTGCCAAGTAGAATTCTGACAACGTTGACAGATATTTTCCAGGAGTGGCAACTAGTTAGGATTATTCCTTTTGATTGACTATCTGATTCTCCCCTTTCCAAACCCTTTGTCTAGCAGAAATAAGTTATTCACTGTTTGTTTCTGTTACAGAGTAGCTCTAAATCATCAAACAATCTCCATTCATGCCATTTCTTGATTTTTTTTGTGTAAGAAAGTATCCCGCACTTGTCTTTTGATGCTAGTTTAGATTTTAATCAGCAGGAAGTGACTATGAAAGCTTGAAATTGGTATGTAAATACACAACATGAGCTGAAGAAACATGGAAATCTGTTAACAAGTACAATTCACCTTTTCCTTGTGGCAAGTGAGATTTTACATTGTTTTGATAGAATACAAGGCTATGGGGTGTAACACGAGTAAAGCACTCAGTCCTGTGATTGAAAGTAGCATGTTTATCAAATATGACGGACAGAGCAAATGATGTTGGACCTGAAATTATAGAATAATAACTGAATCGAAGCTTTAAAGGGAAACAAATTACTCTAGCTTTATGTAGTGGCTATTTTTTAATATTGTTGAAAATTGGGTATGTTAATGGCTTTACATGTCAGATTCATTTTAACAATACAGCCTGCATTCAGACATTATACCACAATGAATATCTGCCCAGAAAGGAGGAGCCGAGCTGTCATCCAGGTGAAACATTGCCAGTTGGATTTCTTTAGCTTATGTGCAAACTATTAATGTGCCCGTTTTGAGCTTTCCTTTTAAGTTTGGTTTTGCTGAATGAGTTGAACTGATGTAGCAATCTGTTGGGTGCAGAAGCTGTGAAGAAACACGTATGCAGCAGTCAGAGGCCCAGTGAAGGGTAAGGCCCAGGGCAATATGCATTCTGGGCCTTAGCAGTTCAAAATTGCTCACTCAGACCTTCCTTTCTGCGCTGATATCAGATATTCCTTGAAGCTGGTAAAATGTTCTGCAATTTAATCCAGAAAGGAAGGGTGAAAAACTACCTTCTAGTGTTGCTGTCAATTTTGATGCTTTGCCCTGCTTTCCCCTTTAATCGTGTAGTACGATGCAATTGCCAGATGAAGCGCTGTCTTGTGGTCTCTTATTTCAGACCCCCAAACTGTGTAATTCTATTAGAAAACTTCTCAATGTTATGGTCTCCCATAGTATCTGCTACATGAATTATGTGAAACTACATTGGATGAACAAGGTAGAAATAGACCATTCAGCCCGACTGGTCTATCCCAGCATTGAAGCCTCCTCCCACATCTCCTCGTCTAAGGTCTTTAGCATAATTTTCTATTTCTTTCAAGCACATTGTGCTGACTTAATTTGTGTTTAAATGTGTTTATTGTATTCACTTCAACTGCTTGGGGTAGCTTTTTTTTCTTGAGGTGTGTTCTCGGAATTTGATTTTTTTTAAAAATTCATTCATGGGTTGTGGGTGTCGCTGGTGAGCCAGCATTTATTACCCATCCCTAATTACCCTTGAGAAGGTGTTGAGCTGCCAGCTCTAACTGCTGCAGTCTACATGCTACAGGTAGACCTGCAATGCTGTTAGGGAGGGAGAACACGGATTTTGACTCAGCAACACTGAAAAAAAAACAGCCATATATTTTCAAGTCAGGATGGTGCGTGGCTTGGAGGGTGCAGCTAGAGGTGTTCCCATGTACCTGCTCATCTTGTCCTTCTAGGTGGTAAAGGCTGAGAGTTTGGAAGATGCTGTCTAAGGAGCCTTGGTGAATTCCTGCAATGTATCTAGTAGATGGTACACACTGCTATTACCGAACATTGATGGTGGACCAAGTGAATG